GGCTGACGCAGCAGCAGGCGCGCGAGAAGGCTCAGCAGATGTATGCGGTCACCAAGGGCATCCGGAGGTGGGCACTGCCAGGGGTGAGCGGGGACGGGGATGGTGGCAGTGTCCCACGGGACCTGGGCGTGGGTCACTCTGCCCTCCAGGTTTTATCTCTCTGAGGAAGGGGAGTGGCTGGTGAAGGAGCTGAACCTGGCTGTGGAAAGGGCAGAGGACGGATCGGTGTCAGCCCAGGATGTCCACCGGCTCCAGAGAGAAGCCGTTAAAAGGTGAGATGCTCCGACCTTGCGCAGCTCTGGTGGCATCGGGGTGCAAGGCAGAGGGAGCTGCAGCCCTGTGGGTGGTGGGCAGAGAAGGGAGAGGGGGCTGGATAGTCCCAGTCCTCCCTCCCTACTTCCCCAGGGTGGAGTAGGTTTGATCTGGGAGCTCTCAGTCTCTCCCAGTGAGCAAGTGGCAGGAGGAGGCTTCAGGTTTGTCTGCCCCAAACCAGGAGGGAGCGTTTGAGGTTCTCAAACGGGGCCTGCAGCCTCCTCCCATGCGTCCATCAAACCTCTCCTCTGCCCTGTTAGGTCCCGAAGGAAGAAGAAGTGGAACGTGGTGGAGCAGCGAGTGTGGGCTGGAGGCACCGAGTCCGAGATGTTCAACAAGCTGGAGAGCATCGCCTTGTCCCCCTCCCCACAGACCCCCGTGCTGGGCTGTCACATCAGCAGGGCCCTGGAGCCCGCCGTGGCCAAGGGGGAGGTAAGGATGCCACTCGGTGCTGCTGAGCTGTCAGCTTTGCCTGTCTTCTCCAAAATGGCAACCTCATGTTCAGCCCTTCTTAGGTGCCAGAGACCCAGTTGGGCTCCTGGAGCCATGCAGGAAACCCATTGCCCCTTTTCTTCATCTGCATGCCATCAAGAAAACCCAACCACCCTAAATTTAACAGGCTTCTCCCAGGAGCATTCCTGTATCGGGACCAGGCCCTGGACCCCGATGTTCTCTTGGCATCCATCTGTGTTTCCTTTCGCCAGTTTCTGACCAGCAGAGTGAACTGGGTGGTGCAGAGCTCGGCCGTCGACTACCTGCACCTCATGCTGGTTGCCATGAAGTGGCTCTTTGAGGAGTTCGACATCAACGGGCGCTTCTGCATCAGCATCCACGATGAGGTGCGCTACCTGGTCCAGCAGCAAGATCGCTACCGGGCAGCCCTGGCCCTGCAGATCACCAACCTCCTCACAAGGTGAGATGCGACGGCTGTGGTGTCTCCTGGGGATGGGCAGCAGTGCCTCCGGGGTGGGACAGGGCAAGCTCAAGGGGCTGGGGTGACAGCAAAGGCGTTAGCTTTGCCTGCAGCAAGCAGAGCAGTTTTCTTCTGCTCAGGGGAAGCTGGCAGCGACGGAGGTTGCAGTTCCTGCCTGTGTGACTTGAGTGGCTAGAAATGGAGCTCGGCTTTGATTTGCCGGCATAACGTGCTGGCAAGAGGGGGAATCTCACCAGCTTTTGGCTCCTGCAGAGATGGGGGCCAGTCGCTCAGCTCTGCTGGGATGCGAGCGCACCACCTCCTGCTCGCTGCAGGTCTCTGGCCGTTGCGTGGCAGCAGCCCTTGGGCTTGATTGAGCAGCCGGGAGCCCGAAACTGTCCCTCATCTCCCCCCGGCCTTCGGGGGACAGCAAGGGACATGGCTCATCGTCTCTGCTGCCAGCACCAGCGCTCTTGCCCTTTGCACAGCGCGAGGCGTTCCTGCTGCTTCCCTGCCCTACGTGAAGTTAAGCTCAGCCTAAAAAGCTCCTGACCTCAGAGGGCTCCCTCCGATCCGGCTCTGGCACAGCCAGCTTTGCCAAATCCCCTTCCCAGCGCCGTGGGGTGTCAGGGTATATGGGAGCCAGCCAAAGCCGAGCTGTTTTCTCCTGCGCTGAGGCAGGGGCA